GATTACATCATCCACACCGTAAAATTATATAAAATAACATAAACAATAAAATTTTTACTTCAAATAAAAACGCAAAATTAAATTGATTTTTAATATTTAGAAGACATAAATAATGTTAAAATACGGAATTTATGCATAATAAAACGCATTATTTTAATAATGACAACAAAGTATCGGTTACCATAAATAACTTGTCCAGCAATGGGTGTACTATAAGACGTATCGCTCGCCTAAAAAAAATCGCCAAAATCCGTGCAACCGTTTACCAAAATAGCACCTTTTGTATTTTCAGTTGTATCGTCTCAGTGATATGTAAGTAATGCGAGAATAAAGATTTATTAGCATAAGTGAAGAGTATTTCCTAAAGAAAGTAAGTTAAGCTAACATTACTATAGTAAGTTAAGCGTTTTGATTCTCAAGCAAATGCTTAAGAAACTGAAGAGCAAAACTTAGCAAGCGAACGTACGTCATCCGTCTCTTCTTACGGTTTCAGCCGCGAGAAGCTGTAGAGCCCTGGATATGACCATGAACAAATGTAAAACACTGAAATACCCTTCTCCTATATACAAAATTTCAACTTCCTACTGCTAATCATTTTTGAGTTATGTGAGATGCATAAGTACGCACGTACGTACAAACATCACGAAAAAAGACTATTTTGAATCCATTTTACGATCCTTTTTGGAATAGAGTCCTTTATTCTATCCGTGCATACAAACGTCACGGAAAAAAAAAAAAAAAAAAAAAGTCAAATTATGATTTATAATAAGTGAGATAACAGGATTTTGCATGTTACAAAAAATATCATGAAATTATTCTTTTTAATAAAATAATTTACCCAGTACTTAGTAAAAACTAACTCTAATTCGGACACTCGAATGTTTTGGTGAGGTGCTCTGGCAGATGAAGTTTCTTGTTGTTATCATTTTTTGTTTTAAATTAAAATACATCACATGAATCATCATCTGCATTTGGAAACTATTACTTGTTTAGCAGCACGTATTAACAGTTCCGTACCTGAAGTGAACATGGAAGGACGCTACAAACTGATGACGAGTTCCGTTATAAATTTCATTATTCATCATTTTAAAGATGGTAAAATTATTCGAAAAATACTTGATGTAAAGCGTTAAGCTATCCTTGATGTTATAAACCGATAGAAATTGCATGGAACTGTTGAAAATGCACTGAAATCTTTACATTCCCACTAATACGAAGGAGTCGGCGGTTTATGCTATGCCAAACATTATGCAGCAACAAACCCCCAAATATTAATGATGTGAAACTTACAGCGGATTTAGAAGAACTGTTTACAATAAAGTAACTTTGTTAGAAGGTAGAAGAATCATTAGAGCATATGGATACAATAGGTGAACAGCAAGAAGGAAGTTCTTCGCCGACAAGAGAACAAGGAAAATACGTTAAGCGTTCACAGAATCTATGGTAAGCAAAGATTTATCAAATTAAAACAATGTTATATTTGCAAAAGAATCACAGTCTAATATATTTGGATCCAATGGACGAATGGCTGTAGGGCGAAAACGGAATAAAAGATTGAATCCAAAAAACTTATTGCCTATTTTTAAGCATGAGGGTAAAGGCATAATGGTATGAAGAAGTTTCGTTGGCTCTGAAATAGAAAATAATTTTTATAAAAAATAATTTGGATGAGTGTAAATTTATGAATATGCTTAATGAAAATCTGACCGCATATGCAAAAAAACTTTGAATGCAAAATACATTCAAGTTATTGTAGGATAACGATGCTAAACATACATCCCTAAATGTTCGCTTATTGTTACACCTGTCTTGAAGTAGTCGAAACTCCTCCATATTTTCCGAATTTAAATCCTGTCAAACATTGGAGTTGAATCAACGCCAAAGTGCGTGAAAAGTGTAAATTTTGTTAAAGGATATTCGGCCCCCCCGGCCAAAAAAAAAAAAAAAAAAAAAAAAAACTATTTTGAATAATTTTTCCCCAAACAAGCAAGTTTGAAAGTGGAAGGGAGAAAAATTATTTCGCAACTGATATTTGCAAATAAAACTGGGAAACTCAAGTGGTGTCCGAAAGCAGATGTGAGCCAGTGCATATGATGTAATGACTTATCAGGAGAAATCATTTCTTCCGGGCTTGAAAAAAACTAAATTCTTTAATTTTGCGTTTTATTCGTATACTTGATTATTGAATTAGTAAACAATTTAATTGCATTCGTTTGGTCGTGTATCTGTAATTTAATTTAGATTTGTAGTAAAATCAATCAAAATTCCTTAGACATTCCCTTTTTTCAATTTCTTTTGGGAAAATAAATTAGGTCTTCGTTTAAAATATGTAAATTTATGCATAGTGAATTGAAACTAGGAAAATAATATTCCACAAAAACGTGAAATATATATATATTTTGTTTCAATAACTCTGAAAAATAATAATATATAGTAAGATTATACACTCACGTTTGTGAAAATTGCAACACCAAGAAGGAATCGTCATAATTGAATGCAATTTAATACACAGTTGAGTGGTAGTGGTACAAATAAATGATTAAATGTTCAAAGCAAACAAACAAGAACAAGAGATCAGAATCAGTATTTTGTGTGGCCACCACGCGCCGCAATAAGTGCTGCTACACGACGTGGCATGGAGTCAAACAAAGTTTGAATGTCTAACTGAGGAAGAGCATTCCATATCGTTTGTACGCGTACCCAAAGTTCGTCTGCAGACGCAACAGGACGAGGATCACGAGCAAGACGCCGACCAATGACATCCCACACATGTTCAATTGGCGACATATCCGGGGAACACACAGGCCAAGGAAGAAGCTGTACCTGCTGCGCTGCAAAGAAGGATTTAACAATCCGAGCAGTATGAGGGCGGGCATTGTCCTGTTGAAATACAGCGCCTGGCAAGCTTTGAAGGAAGGGAACAGCTTCGGGCTGTAGAACTTCACGGATATACCGGTTGCTGTTCAGATTGCCCACAATTCGTAGCAATTGAGATCGTCTATGATATGCTATGGCGCCCCAGACCATAACTCCGGGTGTTCGTCCACTGTGGCGTTCGATAATGCACTCCGGAAGGTGGCGTTCACCGGCATAGGCGTCTGACACGAATGCGGCCATCATGGTACCAGAAAATTAAAGCGGGATTCGTCAGAAAACACGACATGCTGCCAATCAGCACGCCAGTCTCTATGCTGATTGGCCCATTGTAGCCGCAGGCGGCGATGGTCGTGCGTTAGGGGGATCCTGTATAAAGGAGTCCGTGCGCGCAGTCCACACTGCAGCAGACGTCTACGAATTGATGAAGCACACAATGAAACACCTGTAGCTATTGACCACAGTGCTGCCAATTGTCTAGAGGAAGCTGTACGGTCCGTCCGCGCCATGCGGACCAGGTGTCATCGCGAGCTGACGTCACATTTTGGGGTCCACTCCCGGATTTCCGAGTTGTCCGACACTCGTCCGTCCACTGCTTCCAAACGCGCATCACTGTGCTGCTGTTACGCTGCACACGAGAGGCTACTGCACGATACGACAATCCAGCTTCACGAAGGCCGATGATTCTCCCTCGTTCAAACTCTGTAAGTTGTTCAAATCTCGCTCTCTTTCGTCGACGAGGCATAAGTACAGATTGAGTTAACGTTTACCACTAGCAGATAACCACCGATAACCATACACGCCTCGCTACAGCCGTCTATTTATTCGGATCCATCAGCCGTTCAGAGGGCGCTGCTCAGCATACGCATGCGCTACGGATTTGCAATTCTAATCATTTGCATATCATGCGCTACTTTGCATTTCCTGAAAATTTCAGCTCACTCGCGTAAGTCCTTCATGGTGTTGCAATTTTCACAAACGTGAGTGTATAAGTTAAAAAAATTTGTATTGTATAATCTTACTATATATTATTATTTTCCAGAGTTATTTTTACGGGATGTAATTTGCATCTATTACTATGGGGGGGGGAGAATTACAAGGATTGTATTGTAACAGATTCTGCCTCTAGTCTGCAATTTTGTGAATCTCGCCGTGAATGAAACCAGTGATCTCAAACCGGCGGTCCTCGAAGAAGTTTTATGCGGCTCGGGAATTCATTTCAGTTATGCACTAAATAACCCATAAATGGCGATAATTAATTCAGTACTATATAAATCTTATTTGGGTTTGAAAATACAGATTTTATTAAATTTTATTCGTACTTTTCAAAAAATAAATATGCTCATTTACGAATTTTTGGCTTTGTTTATTTTTGGCTCAGTTACGAATAATGGCTTTGCTTGAGTATGATTTGTATGGAAACAAATTTTTTTCGCAGTTACATAATAATAATAATTAATAAGAGAAGAACCCGATTGATCGATGAGCATCTACAATCCGTAATGAAGAAAATTTCTATTAAATTTTCTCTAAGGTTATGAACTTTTTCAGAACTGAAACTTTGTTAAATTCTAAGCTGTAGTCAGAAGTAAAGAAGTTTATAATTATTTGCATACAAACATACGTATTTTTATTCATGCGTCAAAGAAAATTTGATAAATAAGAAAAAGAGATTAGACTGTTATTATTTACTCTCAAGTTTTGTCCCACTTGTAATGTTTTCAGAATTTATTTTTTATTTAAATTAAAGTAAGTTATTTACTAATTAATTAAACATGTTAGAATTATTTGCCAAGCTAAAAATTTAATATTTAGCTGCAATTTAAAAATTTAATATTAACTGTTTAGTATTTAATATTTGAATTACAAAGCATATCCAACAAAAATGTCTTGCAGGTAACAAGCTTTAAATTTCTGATATAAATTAATTGCAAATTTGTATTTTTTTTCCTTTGCGATATAACTGTTGTTTTGGTAAATATTTAATAAGAAAATTAATTTTTTTTTTTTTATAATATTTTTTATTTTGTTCATGAAAATTTTCATTTTGATTAAAAAAAAATTCTGACCCACATGCAGTTTGAGTTTGAGACTACTGATTGAAAGAATAATTTAGCTTTACTTACCACATGGAAATCCATTCTTTTCCACTATTAATAGACTGTAAATCGTATTCCGTCTGACTGAAAGTTCATTGGGAATATTCTCTTATATATTGCTTTTAAACAATGAGCAAATTCTAAATAAGGATTGCAGTGAAACGTCTCCCTTATCGTAACGCCTCTGGCCTAATTTTGTAAATGTGAGAGAATTTTTTTTTCTTCCCCATAACAAGAGAAATGTATGGTACGTGTTGAAAGGAGTTAAGAATCAAATTCTCTACGAATGCATTTATTCTTTATTTTCTGCTTTGTACGCCTTAATAATTAGTTAAAAAAAGGCTTCGACATGTGTAGGAAAGGGTTTGCTTTTCTGCTTAACTGGAGAGGCCGCTTCTAACTGGCAAGTTACTTTCACTAACGAAAGTAAGAGAAAAGGAATTTGATATTGTTTGATGGCTCGCTATTGTGGTTTTTTGGAGTGCGATGAGCGGAGCTGAGGGGCACTTTCGAAGCGAATCTCTTGCAACAAAGATGTTGACCTCAATTTTAATTACCATAACTGTAACTGAATGGCACGTTTCTCTTTCACAGAACATTGTTTTCCGTGAGGAAATATTTAAAATGAAATATTAAAAAACTATTTGATTAAAAGATTATTATTAATTGTTTTTGCATGAGAACTATTGTTTTCATGTCTTTTAAACCGTCTTGCGTAGTTTCAACTTAACGTTATTAATTTAAATACAGAAATTTTAAGTCCTTTAAATTTGAATTAATTTACAGGATTTGAATTCCTTTTAATAGGCAGATTTCGGATAAGAGGTTTTTCCCATAATTGAATATATATAAGTCTGGAACTTACTTCATGTTTTGCGATGCCATCTGTAGAAATTGCAGCGTACGAGTGTTTTTGACCTGTCGGCCAAAATTAAATAAATATTATTGAAAATCCTACAGATTATTTAAAATTAAAGCACATAACACGATTTTATATTTCAAAAAACAAAATTAACATATTTATTATAAAGTAAAAATCAGGAATGTTTTAGCATGATGGCGTATAACTTCGAAAGTCTACTTGTTTAGAAGTTTGTTGCTATAGTTTTAAAAATTCGCTGTGTATACAATGAAGCTTCATAACATCATGTGTGGTCAAACAATAATATTTCTGGGGAAATCTTATGAAAGATTGCAATCCTTCATCACCTTCTTCCCAAGTAACTTTCTTGTCCTACATGTTCTCTTTATCTTCATCTTTCCTCTTCCTCGTTATATTTCTCCTTTCTCAGTTATACATCCGATTATTTCTTCCTTATCTTAAGAGAATGGGATGGGAATAAGATTGTCTTCATCCAAGCCTGCACCTCACTAATACTAATTTTCTTGGGATATGTAAATGAGTCCAAGATGTTGGACATGAGCACCAAATGTGTTTTAAAACCAAGACAATATCTGTCATTCGATTCGTCAACTGTGAACATGATCATAAGTTTCAATTTTTACCTATAACGACATTAAATAATGTTCTTTATAACTTTCCAGGAAAGTTTCAAAGTTCATATTCATTTCATTGATTCAAGGAGATCGGTAGTTTATAGTCTGAATTATTCCTCATTGATTCACTAGTTGGATAATGCTTGTTACGTTGGGTGGCAGAAAAATAACACAAAGGTTTTCCACATTTAACTGTTAAGATTGCTAGCCCGTTGCATAATCTTAATCTCGTAGGCTTAAATTTCGAATTTAAATCTAGATTTTTCAAAACCGTCGCTTTTTTATATTGCCGGTTAATTGTGTACAATCCTCAAGAATTTTACTGTAATTTAATTTTCTATTTGCTATTGTGGTTTAGTTCAAATTTAAGTTTGAAACGGAATTTTGCTTAATCTGAATACTAATTTAACCTTCTAGGCTGCCTGACAAATTTTCATCACGGCTTAAACTGACAATATCCGAATACTAAGGGAAAAAAAAAAAGATTTAAAAAAAATTACAATTTATTGTTCATCTTAGCTCGAAGAAAGTAACACAAATTTACTTGCTGTTCAAGTAGAAATAACTGACAATAACATTCTTTACAATTCAGAAGTTTAGATAATATCTCATAGCTTGGATAAATGCCGGTCTACCTTTTAATATCCAAACAAAAGAGCAACTCACCAAATGGCAGAACTATTGCTCACGCTAGCTAGTAAAGAGAAACTACGGTAGGCTGAGAAGTTGTCAGTCCTTTAATTTTTATTTTTTTTAAAAAAAGGTATAGATTTTCTTAATAATAAAAATTAATGCTTATTTTTTAGAAGGAGCATACTTTTTCATAACTTAGAAACAAAAATTTCATTACTATAATTAATATTATTACTTAGAAGAGACAAAGATTTTTTTTTTTTTTTTTGTTATTTAAAAGGCAAAATTTCGTTGTTTTTATTTTAAAAAAGGCTGAATTTTTTTTTGGTTGTAATTTAAAAGGAATTTTACTTTTAAATTTAAAAAAAGGCTCAAATTATTTTGTTATTTAGAAATAAAATTTCCTATTATTATTTTGATTATTATTATATTATTATTATTATTGATGTTGTTGCTGGCGCGCGAGGTATTATATTCAGAGCTATACTGATGCTTTTATTATTCGGGACTATAATACTCAAGGTATCAGGACTTTATTCCTCTTTCTTGCTTTGGAAATATGAACAGTCTGACTCGGACAGGGAGCTTACTAAAGCTATGTTCATAAATTGTGAAGTAGACAATACAAGGAAGGGTATACGAAACCCTTTATTTTTCTATCTTTACAATGATTTCCGGACTTCGGAATACAGAGACCACCACTTGTGGTCTGAACGTAAGAATAAAAACTACTAACTAAAACTAACTTGGATTAATATATAAGTGCCTACTTAAGATTGGCCGTTATTAACAAAAGCCTATGTAGTACAGAGACTGCTAAACTACGATACGTTTAAATTATCAAGAGATTAAACCTCTGGCCTTGAAGGGCAACCAGCAACCGAGTAAAAACTACTATGGCAAGCGGCCTGCTTCTAATAACTCCTTCCTCTCTCTTGCTTGGCAAAAGCCACAACTTAAGTACTTGGCGTTAGCAAGACAAATTTGCATAAAAAAGTTAACAGCTTTTAATTCTGGCCGGAAGTAGAAAATAAGAAGTGATAGTAAAGATTTAAAATAAAATAAACATTAGTAAAACTTAGGATCCTTACATACTTCCCGCCAGAGTTAATTAGTTTGAAACTGAGGTCTAAAACGACCTTGTTGAAAACTTTTAGCTCTAGAATCTAACGCGAGGCCAATCTTTTACAAGCATTTCTCACTAGAAACTAGAAATTAAAAAAGTCGGTTTTACATTATCAACTCCATGGACAAGATTTTTCATCTGTACTGCATCTAAACAGGAGTTTCTTAGTTGAAATCTGGTTCCTTCCAGAGATTTATCTTTGTGATATTCAGACATCCTTTTTTCTGCCCAGTCCTGGAAGGTAGCGAAGACTCCGGTCTGATTGATCTTCCGTCTTGTGCGGGTTCGCCCTTCAGTTCCTTCCTCCATGAGCTTTCTTTTCCTTCCAATTCGGTCACCCTTGAAGACCTTCTTTTTAGCCTCTGCCTGTGGTCTCGGCCGTTTGATGGCAGCTGGTCTTGGCGGAACCGGGACAACTGTCTCTCGTTCTTGCCTGGATCTCGTTGCTGGCTGTTCAAATTTTTCTTGTTTCTTTGCCTCCGCAGCTTCGATTCCTTCATCAATTGTTCCTTCATCAATTCGTCGACATTTGCTGCGTAGACTCCTATCCGATGAGTAGATATCTTCCGTTTTGGAGCCGGGTTATAGTTGCCGTCATTTCTCCTGGCTCTCTTTGCATTCGTCGTACTTCTCCCTTCTTCATTCTGGGGGTGTCGTGCCCTCTCTTTTCTGGTCGGTGGAACGGCTTCTTTTTCTCTTGTTACCTTCAATTTTCCAACGGGGAACTTTCTTTTCAATTGCTCCTGCCTCCTAATGGCTTGCCCTTGTGATTGTCGTTGTTTCCACCTCTGGAGCTTGTGCCTGCCGTGCCGGATCCTGCAAAAGATCTTTAAATATTGGCATTTTATTACGATTATAGAATGGTTTTATCTGGCCAATGTTTGCGGAGCATGTTTCACCATTCCTGGCTTTTAACACCACTACACACTACAGCGTGAGTTATTTTTTCTATGACATATGGTCCTTCAAATCGTGGAAAAAATTTGGCAGTTTTATCTTCTGGTGCTGAAGAAAGTGAATGCTTAATTTTTAACACTTCATCCCCTACTTTATAAGTTACTCCCCGTCGTTTCATATCATAATAAAGCTTCTGTTTTCTCTGTGCTACTTCAGTGTTCTTTTTTGCTTCTTTAATTAATTTTTCTATATCACCCATTTTAAATTCTGGGGCTCTTTGTTGAACATAAAATAATTTATCTAACGGCGTTATAATCTTTCTGCCCTAAAAATAACTCAGCAGGAGTTTTGCCCGTTGTATCATGTTTTGCGGTCCTAAGGGCGAAAGCAATTCATTGACATAGTTATCCCAGCTTTTATGAAAATTTTTAACATAACTACGGATAATTTTCACTATATTTCTATTGACCCGTTCCGCTATATTTGATTGCGGCCGATACGGGACCATTTTTAAATGACGTATGCCCAGTTTTTGGCACATGTCTTCAAATATATTACTTACAAATTGAGGACCATTATCCGATATAACTTTTAGGGCGCCCCCGTATTTTAAAATATATTTATTTAAAATAGAATCAGTAACTAATTTTCGCGGAGGCTCGTTTTAAGGGAACAATTTCGGTCCACTTACTAAAATGATCAACCATAACAAGGAGATACCGACTTTTATTTAACTGACTTTTTGGGAAAGGGCCCAATAAATCGATGCCAATTATTTCATTTGGAAATTCGGATTTAATACTATTTAGAAACCCGGCCGGGCGGAAATTAATATAATTAACTGCTTGACATGTTGGGCAGGACTGGACATACGCCCTTGTTAACTTTTGCAGTTCAGGAAAATAAACTGCCTCGCGTA